CTAGATTTCATGGCCCCATCCAATAGTGTTATACCATACTAAGAACAAGAGAAGTAAAATAAAATGTTAACTTTCCAAATGTATCCTTATCTAGACATAGCATTTAGTGGCATTGGAACTGATATATACAAATCCATTTGCTTAGTTAATCTTACTAATTTTATTATGCTATTAATTCAGCAACAATTATGTCCTAGTTTGTCTCCACTACTGTGATAAAGACCATGACCAAAACAACTTAGGGAGGAAAGGGTTTATTTCACCTTCTTTTTTGTTGTTGTTGCTGCTGTTTTTGTTCTCTCTCCTGTCCCAAAGTTCAGCTCAAATTTCTTTTTTAAATTTTACATAATAAACTCTCCCCTAATTTACCAATTTCCCGTCCTGTGGAGCCAAATCTAAGAGCAAATGTTCCTTTTCCAACAGCAATGTCACCTCCCTTGATGTTCACCATGGATCTGTGTGTATGTGTGCATTTACCATGTGAGTTTTAGCCTGTACAAACATGTTTAAAAAGAAAAACTGAAGTAACACTAGGCTTTCTTTGCAAAAGTATCTTATTGGACAGCTGATTCCCTACGGCATTACTGTCATAATGACTTTAAAAAAAAATACAAACCAGTTTTTCAAGCTGAAAACAATGAATACGAGCAAGCCAATTGGGAAATTATAACGTAGCTCTTAGTAACACTGAACACATTTTCCCAGGGACTGTGAAGAGATAGCAGGTGATTTTGAAAAGCTGTGCAAAATCACTGTTTGCCCCACATCAAGGAACGACCTCACAAACTCATTTCTACTTCAAATATTTCCCTACAATAGTAGGTCGTTGTCCCAAAAGATTAACTGTCATGTCTTTCCTGTTAAGTTGTCCAAATGTTCTTTAATCAACAAAACAAAAAACCTGAAAAGTAACATGATGTGTTTTGCACAAAGACAACAGGCAACCACATCCCAAAAGTCTATAAAACGTTGAGAAGTGAACAATGAATTACAAAACACCAGAGAACCACAAATACGTCACAAATAATTAGCTATTTTTTTCAAGGGTCAAAAAGAAGTGAAGAAACAAAGGGGGTGGAGCCGAACCACCACTTACTCAACTTCTCTGGTACGACCTTTGTTCTAGTTTTTAAAATCTGCCACGCAAAAAGCACAAGGTTCCCGTGTTTTGTTCACTTTTTGTGAAAACACTTTTTCTCAACCCTTTTGCAAAAAGTACTGCCGATTACGATATGAAGACTTGCTGTTTTCCCAGCACAGCGCTTCTTGCTCATAGGAACTCCAGAATAGTTTAGCAAGAATTCCTCTGACCCCTCCCCTAGCTCCCAAAGGACTTTGTAAATGACATGAAAGAAACCCAATCCACGTAACTGGAGAGGCAAGTTTCGCAAAATCAGGACTTCTGAAACTCGCTGTCCCCGCACCCCTTCCTCCTATCCTCACCTATGCTTCTCATCCATAGCACAGGCCAGTTTTCAAGCCAAGTGAGAAACTTTATTAAAATAAACACTGCAAGGGGCAGAGCAGACAAGGCACCTGACTCCGGCCGCCAACTCAGGATGGTTTCGACGACGGGACAAGCCCCAGGGAGTTAAGAAAGGTTTTCCTTCGTGTCCACAAGGCTGCAGGTCAGCTCCTCCAGAACCCGCCAATGCTCGCAGGGTCTGCACAAGTTTGCGCGCTGCAGAAGCCGGCTCGCGGCGGGAGGACCACCCCGGGGCCGCGAGATCCACTCACCTGCCCATTCTCCGAGCCGCGGGCCGACGCCGGCCTCGTTGCCCACGCACCACACCTGGAAGGCCCTGAAGAGCGAGTACGAGGCGCGCAGGGCCAGGTAGGCCACGGTGCTCGCGCCCACCCAGTACAGGAAGCCGGCCGCCGGGAGAGTGCGCTCCATGGCTCGCGACTAGGCCTCACTACCACCGTGAATGGGGAAGAAAAAAAAAAAAACGAATGAATGGAGCGAGGAGGCGGTCCCGGCCGTGACGCCGAGGACGCCGCTGACAGACGCCCCCTTGGGACCCAAGGCCCGCCCACAGCGCCACATCCATGTCGCCATTGGTGGCTTTACCTCCCTTTGAGCGTACTGTGTCTACCATTGGTTAGACTCCTTTTAGTGGCCCCGCCCATACGCCCCGCCTTCGCGCTCAGCACCCCATTTTCTATTAAGAGAGTGGATCGCTCACATGCCACTCAACATTTGGCCCCGCCCACAAGCTCACATCGCGCCACCGAAGCTCAGGGATCTCTCATTGGCAGAGGCGGCCCTCACGACTGCTCTTTGATTGGCCGATGAGACCTAACCTCGTATTTCAGGAAGGAATGGAACCGGAAGGGGAAAATTGTAGTGGAAGGGTGCATGAAGCGGCGCTTACGTTTACGCCTTTGCATTAAACACTTTCAGACTCCTGTTAATCCCATGAGCTTCTCGGATGAAGGGTTGCGGTTCCCCGTCTTCGCCGCACGCTTTCGCTCCAAATTCTAAATGCCTTCCTTAGCTCCCATATTGAGCTTTAGACTCGTGGTTCCCAGTAATTCGGAATTCCAGACTACTACATAGTAGCGTTAACAATTGTAATATGAATAGAAATACAAGAACACAGCTTGTGGAGCAATTCTCCTTGGAAATGTTTGGTTTTTGAGTGGACCTTGAAGAACCAGAATCACATTATTTCTGGTTTTGTGGGAGGATGTGGAGTGAGGAGAGTGGGTGTGTTTGTCCGACTTTGCAGGAGTAAAGATATTCGAAAGAGACGTTCATGTTCTTTAACTATCAAGACTATTAAAACAGTGGACTCAGAAGAGGAATCTATCCATACCCCCCAGGCGTTTTATGCTGTGGTAAAAGGAAAGCCTAAAACCTGGGCAAACTCTTCTCCCGGAACACCTTACAGGAGAGACAATGAGGGGTCAGTGGTGGTGGCTGGCACACTTGGGCTGGGACTGCTTAGATAAGAGTAACTCTGGCCTTCTTCTTAAACCATAACCGCTCTTCAGAACCTGAAACACAGCCTTGGTGGTCGGTGCCAGTTCTCTTTTGTACTTCTTCCTAATGTGGCCACAGTGAATCTCTCTCTCTCTCTCTCTCTCTCTCTCTCTCTCTCTCTCCCTCCCTCCCTCCCTCCCTCGCTCCCTCCCTCTCTCCCTGCTTTTCACTATTAATTCGACTCCATTAATTGACTGTTCAAGGACAGGTGGTATATGCCTTTATATATGAGAGTGTACAGCCAGAGGGTGACATGGGTGTAATTTTTATTTTTGGTTTTATTCTGGCTTGGAGGCAGTCTCTACAAAGCCCTGGTTGTCCTGGTGATAACTAAGTAGGCCAAGCTGATCTCCAACTCAGATATCTGCCTGCCCACACCTCCTGAGTGCTGGAATTTAAGGTGTGTGTCACAATGTTTGCCCGATTTAGGGTGTCTTCACCTATCTGCCCTTTTTTTGGGGGGGGGGGGGGGGGTACAGGGTCTCACAGAACCTGGTGCTCATCTATTTAGATAAACTATGCTGTCACTGCCTCCCCAGTGTTGAACCACCGCACCCGGCTTGCACATGGTGCTAGGGATTAAAACCCAGGTCCTTACACTTGAACAGAAAGCATTTTACCTACTGAGCCATCTCCCTTGCCCCTGAAAGGAAGTTTTAAGGGGACACAAAAGTGTCCAGTAGAGCATGGAAGTTCTTCAGCAAAGTTCCCAGGGTGGGAGTGGGGATGCACACATGTAAACAAATGGAATCTCTGTTCAGGGTCATCTTCTGCCTTCTGCTCATATGTCCAGGTGCCCATTCAACGTCTCTGCTCAAGCTTAGTATATTTATTGGTTGTTAGAGGATGTCAAGTATCCCAATCTGGTCTGGAATTGGCTATGTAGTCAAGGATAGCTTTGAACTCCCAATCCTCCCGCCTCTACCTCCTAAGGAATGGGATTACATGTGTGTGACACCACGTCTGGTTTTTCAATTCAGTGCTGGGGATTGAACCCAGAGCTAATTAAGCACTATATCAACTGAGCTACATGCCAACTCAAACTTAATATATTTAAAAGTAGAACTCCACAGGTGCCCCTGTATACTGCTTGTGGTGGTTTGAATGGGAGTGTCCCCTCATAGGCCCCTCTGTTTGAATGCTTGGCCTCCAGCTGGGAAGGATTAAGGAGGTGTGACCTTGATGGAGGAGATTCGATCTTATTGGAGGTGTGTCATTGAGGGTCGACTTTGAGGTTTCAAAAATCCACGTAAATCCAATTTAGCTTGCTCTGCCTCTTGCTTGTGGATCGGATGTAAGCTCTGAGCTGCTTCTCCAGAGACATGTCTGCGTGCCTGCTGCCAGGCTCTCTGCTATGTTGTTCATGGACTTGCCTTCTGAAACTGTGAGCAAGCACCCAATTAACTGCTTCCTTTTATAAGTCGCCCTGGCCATAGTGTCTCTTCACAGCAATAGAACAGTGACTAAGACACATCTTTACCTTTTCTATCTCCTTAACTGGACCACTACTCATGACTGTTCTGGGATGCAAAACCGAGGGGTCAACCTTCCTTTCTATTAAATCCTCATTTCCAAATATTCAAATGTGCCCACTCTATGACTAAAATGTAACCTGAGAGATTTCTTAGCTCTGCTACTGCCAACTAATGCAAATCTCAAGTGTTTTCAACCTGTATGACAAGAACTTCATAATTAGTCTTTCTGAAGCTGTCTTGGCAAACAGATATTGTTGCTGTAGAATTTGTTTTATACACACACACACACACACACACACACACACACACACACACATATATATATATATATATATATATTTGAAGCTGGGCATAGTGGTGCATGACTTTGATCCCATCATTCCAGAGGCAGAGACAGGTAGATCTCTGTAAGTTCAAGACCAGCCTTGTCTACATAGCTAAATGAGTTCCAGGCCAGTCAAGTCTACTTAGTAATTAATAACTTGTCAGGGAAAAGAGAGAGAAAAAGAGAGAAAAGAATCAGACACATCAAATTGGTCTTCAGAATAATTTATTTAAAAGATTTCAAGTTGAGAGTAATCTTTAATGTAAAAAGTGTGATTTAACAACATTGTATTGTAGTCATACACACAGATTTCCATTGAAGTTCATTGGCAGTTTTTCTACATTTTGATACAGATATCTACAAATTCACATCCAGTCTTCACAACAAATTGGGAACAGTTCATTGTATAAAAGAAAATTTCATAATTAGGTAATGTTACAGATGTCAGAAGTTTTTTGAGAATACCATCATAGCTAAACCTTTGAGACAAGCACCAGACCCTTCCTAACCTCTTCATTTCATCATTGTTCAACACATTACGCTTGTTTTGCTTTTTGGCATGCTCTCATGTAGCCCAGGTTGGCCCCAAACTCCCTGCCCTTGAGCTTCTGGTTCCCTCCTCCCTCCGGTTCCGAGTGCTTGGATTATAGGTGTGTACAACAGAGCCATTTCCTCCGTGCTGGGAAGCACACTTTGCACCTCCTAGGCAAGTGCTCTGTCAACTGAGCTATAACTCCAGCTGGACACATTGAGCTTTGATTCCATTCTACATCCAGCTGTCAAATCCTGGGTAGGAAAAAAAATGTTCTATGAATAACAAACTAATTTAAAATAAATAGAATCTTTAGCATTAGAAACTAATTAGAAGTTACTATTTGATTTCCTTAAGTGATAACATTACCATAATAAAAGAATATTGGGTTTTCATGTTAAGCGTTTTCCTGTGCATAACTGCATCCAAACACAATAGCCTCACTCTTCTTCCAAAGAAACCAGCTTTTCAGTAGACCTTCTACTGCAAGAACCCCTAAGTGCCATGGTCCTAGATCTAGAAACAGGCCATTGTGAGAGCTTGTTTGAAAGTCCAGCCGGGATGGGCGGCTGTTCATATACCTTTGACCTCCTTTATCAGGGAAACTCAGCTTCTTCCAAAAGCAAAGAAGGACATTAGCCTGACCAGCTAGATCAAGCGAATCTACCCTGGCACTCAGTGGGTGATGGAAGTCACAACCAGGTCGCCCTGCCAACAAGTTGTTCTGCACTTAAAAACTCCACTTCTACACACACAACACTTGAGCTCACACTCATGGTCGCTTCCACAAACACAGTTTTCAAATAAAACTGAGATGGGGCCTGGGGAGGTGAGCTCGTGGTTAAGAGCACTGACTTCTCTTGCAGAGGACCCAGGTTCAGTTCCTAGCACCCATAAGGCACCTCACAACAGTGTGTAACTCTAGTTCCAGGGGATCTGACATCCTCAGACATACATGCAGGCAAAACACCAATGCACATGAAATAAAAATAAAATAAATAAAAATTTCTTTAAAAAAATAGAAACTGATATTGGCCAGTTTGAAACAGATTTAAGTATACAGCTTTAAGTTTAGTGAGATGGCTCCGAGGAGAAATGTGCTTGGCACCAAGCCTGATGACCTGACTTAGATCCCTGGGGCCCACATGGTAGAGAGAACCAACTCCCTCAGGCAGCCCTCTGACCTACACAAACATGCCACAGGACACACAAGCACACCCAACACGAATGAGAGCAATCAATAAGTAAAAGTACAGCTTCAGTGCTCCCTTACATTTCAATTCAAAGGCTCACATAGACTTATAAACACCAGAAAAGTGTGCCAAGCCATTTAGTACCTTCACGGGTTGGTGGCTAACACATTAGCCTTGCCCCAGTAACTGCTTTAGTTCATTGTATCTCCTGACCGAGTAATCACTCCAGCTATCTTATCCAGGGTACGTTCACCTTTAAAAAACAATCAGAGCCATAGTTAAGCCAGCTCCAACTAGGTAAAGGGAAAGCTAATTGGGATGTTTTATCAATGTCTTGCTACCAGAAAGAAACCTGCAAATATTAGGACACTTCCACAGGAAAACACAAAGGAAAGAATACAGAAAATGCCTTCATGCATTTTCTTTATCTATATGCTTATGTTTGTAATGGACTCAGCATTTACTAATATTATTCATGGATTTTCCTCTCCCAAGGAATCTTGTTAATTTGATTTCTACTGTTATTGCCTACATCTGTTCTTTTCCTCTTTATTGTCTTGGTAAATATATTTGATGTATACAAAAAGACTACACAAAATACAAAGTAGTTATAAAAGAGCACAGTTATGTTTGCCCAGCATTGGGAGGTTGCAACAGTGTTGCACCTGGGCTGCCAGCTTCCAGGAGCACAGGCCTCAAAGGCAATCCACGGAGTCAGCACATACTAAGACTTTTTTATCTGAGGGGGTTAGGGAAAAAGACACTCACATTCTTTTTTGAGGGTTTCCTTCTTTATTCCTTATTCTTCTGTGTTCTTTCTATTGTATACTTTTTTCTACAGCTTATATACCCCAACAAAGTTTTTCAGGCAATATAGGAATTCCAATGTGGTTACATGCTGTAAATGATTACAATGAATACAACACAAACAGTAAAAAAACAACATGTTTTCCATATCCCTTACATCATTAAACATTTTATGTTTTACAGGTAAAGAACAAATTATCCCAAGAGCCCATGTACATTCATACCCAAGCACACCCATTCACAGTTATAAGTTAACTTTGTGGGCAACAAGGTATGATCTTTTACTGGCAGGCTGCATTTTGTAGTTACAAAGAAAGGACCTATTCCTTTATTGCTTTCCTTTAAAGGTAGTATTATAAAGAATCTAAAGGAATCACAAACCTAAACTTTTATATATAAAAAAAAATCAGTCAGCTCTACTTTAAATCTTTAGGGTGCATACCCATGCATCATTAGTTGTTTTATATCAGGAGATTAAGAGCAAAAATGGATACAAAAAATTAGTCATCATTTCTGGTCATCAACCAATCCTAGCAAGAAAAGCATGTCAAATAATGATAATTGGCTGCTTTGTTCTTGCTCCCTGACCTTAACGCGTTCTGCATTCAACTCTTGTGTCTTTCTAAAACTTTAGATTGTCTTCTTGAGTTTTTCACCTCGAAGTTATTTGACAAGAACATCTAGTATAATCTTATTTTCAAATCTTTGTTTCAGCACTCCAAAACCTGTGAACACATCTTCCAACATTAAGGTTAAAAGAATTTAAGCTAGCTGGTCTACCAGGACTCAGTTGTTTTTCTTAATTGTTAACCTAAACTCATGTGTTCTAGTGTGTGACACGTCCTTATTTATTTCTTGAACCATTAACCCTCTTAACTTAAAACTTATTATTATCAATCAGACAGTACAGCTTAGGAAGGAATCATCTTCACAATAATCCACAGGCAAGAATGCCCAGCAGAATGGAATTTTTCCATGAGATAAGCACACTATATTACAGGCAGTGGGAATCTCCCCACATCCGTTCACACCATAGCAGATACCAGAGAAAGGTAGCAAACATGTAAAGGTACAGTAGAAGTGAGACACATTCTAAGGTCTGTGGTCTCAGGGACTTGCTATCCAAAATTCACCCACCAGGGAGTCGCCTCCTGGTGAGCTGGCACCTTGAACTTCAATGACACCTGCTGCTCCTCTGCCATGGCCACCAGCAATCCAAAGTTCGAGGACAGTTTGAGCTAGATAGTCGGACTCTGTCTCAAACAGATAAAAAAAAAAGTGATTGTAAAGTCAAAATGTATAGAAAATGGCAAACAAACCACCCAAGAACTGTCCAAAACACTTTTATCACAAATACATGTACATATATTTAGATATCAAGACATATAAACAGATACTGTTTGTCTTATTTTTAAGCCCTGCTTCATAAGCACCATGCAGTGGATGCTGGGGCATCAGTTTAATCTTCCTTATAGAACTTAGACATTTACTCTCCTATTAGCCAGAGCACTGGCTGCTGAAGGCACATGGCTGTGTCCCTCTTTGGGCATTACCCTTGGTCAGGGGAGCCACTTCACTTCTGCAATGGGAACTTGCACTCTGTGACTAGTGGGTACAGACATACCAAAGAGTGGACCATTTACTTTATGTATGAACATCTCTGAAAAGTCTTCCCAGCCTCAGCACTCCTGGGACATTGCCTGAGGCCTCTATTATAAATGATTTCAGTTCAACTTAACCCTCTTCCCTCACTCTCTTCCAGATGCTGTCCCTAGAGCACTCTGTAATAGACCCTCAGCAGAGAAACCTCAACCTCAGCATTTGTTCCCCCAAAACCCGTCATAGGCTGCAGTGTGTCTCCCCAGAAGACCTAGTCACCCTCCAACCTGTTAAAGACACTCCTATTTGGCAATAGGGTCTTTGTGAACATAAAGATGTTATGATGAATTTATACTGGGTGGGGATGGCTTTAAATCCAATCAGCCCTCATAGAGAAAGTCAGATGTGAACCAATACAGAGAGGTAGAGAGAAAAAAAATCCAAGTGCTGATAGAAGGTGAGTACAGCAATGTAGACTCAAGCCAAGGGAGGCTAAAGATTGCTGATAACTACAAAAGCTAGGGAGAGGCAAAGAAACTTCCACCGGCCCCTCAGATACCGAGCAGCACTGCCATCGCCCCCTGGACTTTGGATAGTTGGATTCAGAACTGTTATTCTCTCTCTCTCTCTCTCTCTCTCTCTCTCTCTCTCTCTCTCTCTCTCTCGTATTTGCATGTGTATCTGTGTGTGGAAGTCAAAGGTCATTATTAAGTGGTTTCTGCCATTGTTTCTTTGAGACTGGGTCTCTGAGGTTCACGCATTTGGATATATGGCTGGCTAATTATCTCCAGCGATCTGTCTGACTGAACCGGTTTCTCATGCTCGTACAGCAATCACTGACTCATCTCCCTGGCCCAAGAAATGTCTATTCCCTAAAGTTATATCTTTAGAGAGATGTGTGCCCTTCTCTTGCCTAACAGACTATTGAACAAAGGTCCACGGAACTATTGACCAATGAAATAATGGTCACCAAGAAATTGGAGTCATCCCTGGAATATCAGCTAGAAAGAATCAGCTGGAGTGTAAAGCCAATCAGAAGGGAATTTGTCTCCTAGGACAACTTGTCAACCTTGCAGCAGAGACCGGAGTAGAGATACTGATGGGTCAACACTGGGTAGGACCAAGCTTTGACTTGAACTGCTTAATTATCCACACTTCTTGCTTTCTATTTAAATCTAACCCTCAGGGCCCCAAAGGTGGACTTGGGGGTCAACTAGACCACTTTGTTCCTCTTCCAAATATGCCCACATCGGATGAATCTTCTGTTTTTCATGGTTGCTTGTCTCTTTAATCAGAGCATTGACCATGGGTTGCTGACCCTTACTTAGTTGTGGATGCCAGGCCCCCAGTGCTCTCATCAGAACACTCTGGTAACATAGTGGAACTAATCTTTCAAAGTCTAGCCAGAGTAACCCCAACTTGTAGCAAGCCATCATTTGCAGCTGTCCCATGTACCCAACTGCAGCACACAAGCGACTCTTGAAGCAGCTAGAGAAGTCACTGAGAGATCTGATAGGGACAAGGAGGGAGCAGTTAACATAAAACACACAAATAACAATCCCAAGGTCAGATATCATCTGCCTTACAGTGCCCCAGCTTATAGCCACCTCTACTGCTTTAAGAATAGAGTTCTAAACCCAAATTTGCATTAGTTCTCTGTAGCCTTAGAGACATATGAAATAGTAGTTTGGTGAGACCCTTTCAATAGTGTGGTTGCTTATCAGCTACTTATGCTTCTGAAAGTAATCCTAATAAACTCGTGTATTCCATCAACTTGGACTGCTTATATGTTCCCTTCATCTCTCGCTATGTGATCTCTTCCACTTGTGCCCCTGCTGGTTTGTCTCCACTAACATACAGAGGTGGCGGCTTGAGGTCCCTATCATACAAGGTTACATCATCTAAGAATTCAGAACTGTGGGCCAAATTAAACCTCTTTTCTCTATAAAGCACCCAACCTCAGTCACTTAGTGACAAAATGGACCAAGGCAGCTATGGGTCTCTAATTTTCTCATTATCTGGGGAACTAACTCTCCAGAAATATATAATATGCATATTTTAAAAACCTTTATTCTCTCTAAAATGACTGCATCTGCTTGGTCATGCACTGATGTTGTTTATATTCCTTTATTTTTAACATTTGGAGAAATTTTATGTAAATTTAAATATTTATTATTATATTATAGTATTATATTGGTTGCCATGTCAGGCAGAATAATTACCCCCTAAATATCCATGTCTTAACCTCTAACCCCTGCGTGTAAGGTGTTGTAATTAGACAATAGACTTAAGTCCACAAAATGGTCTTATTTTTGTGGTTATGCAGTTCTATTATGTTATTCAGGTACACCTAATCTAATACTGCAGGTCCTCAGATTGGAGAACCTTTCCTAGTTTGGGTCAGAAAAGACGATGTGGCAGCAGAATGTCCAGAGAGATGCAAAATTGCCAGCCTTGGGGATGTAGAAGGGATCCAAGAGCCAACAAATATGGGAATCCCCCAGCTTTAAGCTCTTAGAGACAGAGAAATGAACTCTCGAGAAACCCGCAGGAAGAAATGAAGTGCAGACACCTTCGTTTAAGTCGAACGAGACCCATACTGGGTTTCTCTAGACCTGCACTAAACACATGTGGTGCTGGTCTAAGCCATGCACCTGTGATCGTCTGTAACAACAGTGTTGAATGTCATGTGTGTTTGTGTGTGCTCAAATCATAGGGTCCTTTCTGTGAGGTCCCCTAAGTCTATTCTATGACAAGATTTATTTTTGTTTGAAAACATATAATTTTTAAAAAATTCCTTTTGTGTGTCTAAGTGTTTTGCACACACATGTGAATGTGAGCCATGTCTGTGCTGGTGCCCTAGGAGGCCAGAAGGGAGTACTGGATTCTCTGAAACCAAAGTGACAGATAGGTGTGACCACCATGTGGGTACCAGGTCATGACTTAAGAGTTGATCCCAGTAGAAAACCTGCTCATGGCTTTGGCTATGAAGGAAAGAAAAAACAAGAGCACATGGACAATACCTGTTAAATACTTGGAAATAAAGCTTTCTAACTACAGATTCAGCCAGGGGAAAGTTCTTTTTCCTCATGTTCATGTGTGTTGCATACACACATATATAAGTATGTGTGGAGGCCAGAGGTCTACATCAGGTGTCTCCTTGATTGTTCTCCAGCCTATACGTTGAGGCAGGGTCTCTCACGTGGACCCAGAGCTCACTGACTTAGCCTGTCTAACCAGCCTGCTTGCTCCAGAAATCCTCTGTCTACACTTCCCACACACTGGGATTCAAGGCTGGCCACGGCACCCACTAAGTGTTTATGTGGGTGCTGAGGATCCAAACTCAGGTTCTCACATTTACACAGCTGCTTTAACCACTGAGCCTTCTCCCCAGCCCCTAGAGAAACTGCTTTTTATTAATATCTAAGTAATTCTAGGGAATTGGTTTCTATTTCCAACCTCTATGCTGTCTCAGACGTTGCCTGGGAACTGTCTTACTGGTGACTAGTTCCATACCTCATTGTCCCTCTGTATCATATGTGTATACTGAGACTATGACTCTTTGGGGGAGTCCTATGCCATGGGCCTATTTTGGGCCTGATTTACAGGAAGAGCAAAAGCCTAATGTCAATGTTTTTACCTTCAGAATAAGTCCTTCTGAATAATCTACTTATTTATCATTTTGTGAATGGGATATTTTAATCATTTAAATGGCAATGTTCAAATGAGATTTGCTTTCCAAAGACTATTTCTTATTCATTGAAGAGGGGAGATAAGCTGGCTTTAACATATGAAAAGGCACTGTTTATAGAATTCGAGTTCCCTGCAAACTTATGTGTGTGTGTGATGGGGGGGGGGGGGTTGTGGACAAATTGACAGGTCATACGTTTAAATAGTTTGCAAGTACATAGAAAACACAGCTCAGTGGGCATGCATGCCTGCACAAGCATAAGGAATCCCCAGCACCCATCTAAAAAGCATAAACACCACACACACACACACACACACACACACACACACACACAAGAAAATAATAAAAATTTGAAATCTACTAGCAATACTTAGATTGAAAATTTTAGGTGAAACCCAAAAATATGTTCACTTGCTTTACTGTTTCTGATGCTGTTTACACCCCTTCTTGCTGCTCTAGGGTCTGCCAACGTTAGAGAGGCATCATCAGACTCTGTTCATTCTGAGCCCAGAATCCCTGAACTTCCCAGGCTTTTGTTGTGCACAGGCTGGATGTTCTAACACCATGCGGAAAACTTTCTTTCCCTGCATGCAGGGAGAACATTCAGTGAGCCTTATGATCCCAAAGGCCTGCTCAGGAGTAGCTCAGGCAGTAGCTGGGAACATTAACCTGCACACTGGGTGTGGCATTCTGACCTGGTTCATTACATTCCCCAGAGAATCTACTGCAGCTCCGCGTTTGAATTTAGTCACAATGCTGCCCTTGGTCAAACTTCATATCCACTCTCTGCTTTGAGACATAAATCAAGTCTCAATCTAAAGGGGGGAATTTTTTTTAAGATGGTCTTACTATGTAGTCCTGGGTAGCCTGAAACTCACTACATAAATCATGCTGACCTTGAACTCACAGAGATATACCTGTCTCTGCTTCCTGACTGCTAGGATTAAGGTTACGACACCAGTT